ACCTACATTCTACTTAAAAATAACACAATGATGAGGTAAAAATGGTGCTCAAGTTCAACTGCTAGATCAGGGATGTCAAATAAGTGACAACGTGGAGAAGATTGTTGAGTTTAAACAAGAAATTCTGACCTCAAACCACATTCTAAAATGAAAAAAGGAAAGTACAAAAGATTATAAAGAAGATAATTTAATACATGAGTTTATTAAATGTATCAATAATATTCTTGAAATAAAGCCTTAACAGCTCCAAAATTAAAAAGCTACTTAGAGACCACATGCTGAAAAAATGCTCCCGGCCCAATTTCTTAGTTCTTCCCCGATTGTTAGTGACAAAGCCTTATTCTCATCATTAAAGTGTTATTATCGGACAGAAAACAACTCACATGTATTCTTCCAGTATGTCTGGCTATCACATGTACAACTCTGTACACTCAGGTAATTAACTAAAAACTGTATCGAGCGATAATACAGTAGCTCATTTACTTTTTACCAATGCAGAACATTTAGAAGCGATACTTATTTAGAAGCAAGTCTGTGCAAATTTCACAATCAAGCTTGTTGAGACAGCTGCCTAACTCATTTGGTTTGTCAGATATGTGTAGCAAGGTCACTTAATATAGGATGTCATGTGTATGACAGGGTACATGCGGAGAAATGTGTCATTAGGCAATTTTGTCATTGTGCAAACACCACAGACTATACTTACAAAATCCTAGACGGGGCTGTGTGGTATAGCCTAGCCTACTGCTTCTGGGCTACAGATAGTCCAGCATGTTACTGTTCTGTAGGATACTGGAACAGCAGGTATCTAAACATAGAAAAGGTACAGTAAAAACACAGTGTTGTATCCTCATGCGAAGAGGGTTGCATATGCATATGCAGTCCATGGCTACATTTACAGGGATAGAAAATCTATTGCTAGGTAATATAAATTCTTTTAAACGGCCGGGTATGGCAGTCTGTGTCTACCGTCACAGCTACTCAGGAGGCTGAGGCAGAAGGACAGCTTGAGCCCAGAAGCTTGAGGCTGCAGTGAGCTATGATCATGCCACTGCGCTCCAGTCTGGGCAACAGAGTGAGACTCTGTCTCTTAAAAACAAAACAAAAAATAAAGACTACTGCAAACATTAAAAACACTTGACACTTAGGATATACAAAGTTTATAAAGCAATATGTTTTCCTTCAGTAATAAATCAACCTTAGCTTACTGTAACTTTCACAAACTTAAACATTTTGACTCTTTTGTATTTTTGTCTTTTTTTTTTTTTTTTTTTGAGACAGTCATGCTTTATCACCTTCAGTACAGTGCCCTGGTGTCATAGCTCACAGCCACTTCAAATTCTTGGGCTCGAGTGACTTCCTTGCCTCAGCCTCCTAAGCAGCTGGGACTATAGGCGTCCTCCACAATGCCAGGCTATTTTTAGAGGCAGGGTCTCACTCTGGCTCAGGCTGGTCTTAAACCTGCGACCTCAGGCAATCCACACACCTCGGCCTCCAAAGTGTTAGGATTACAGGCGTAAGCCACCACGCCCAGCTGACTCTTTTGCATTACTACTTATTTATAACATAAACACATTGTATAAAATATTGTATAAAATATTCTTTCTTTACATCTCTATTCTATAGCGTTTTTCCATTAATTTTTTTTTAAGTTTTTGGAGCCATGGGCCACATGCAGCCAGGATGGCTATGAATAAGGCCCAACACAAAATTGTAAACTTACTTAAAACATTTCAGGGCTTATTTTGTGATTCTTTGGTGGAACTCAATTACAAGGTTGTCAAGCGTGCTGGCCAGAACGCCTGGCTATTGTTGCTGCAGTTTGGCTGGGCCCATGTTCAAACCACCATCCTCAGTATATGGGGCCCTACCCGCTGAGCCACAGGCACTGCCCAGGTAAGCATTCTTATTTGATTATTTTTTTTTTTTTTTTTTGAGACAGAGCCTCAAGCTGTCCCCCTGGGTAGAGTGCCGTGGCATTACAGCTCACAGCAACCTCCAACTCCTGGGCTCAAGCGAGTCTCTTGCCTCCGCCTCCCAAGTAGCTGGGACCACAGGCGCCCGCCACAACACCCGGCTATTTTTTGGTTGCAGCCGTCATTGTTGTTTGGCGGGTCCGGGCTGGGGATTCGAACCCGCCACCTTAGGTGTACGTGGCTGACACCTTAGCGGGTTGAGCTATAGGTGCCGAGCCCTTATTTGATTATTTAGGGTACTTCCACTTCTCCGTGGTACCTCATACATCACCAAACCTTACTTCCTATCTTCCTATCAATTGTTACAATAAAAGGGAATGTAGTCCCTTATCTAATATTATTTTTTTAATCCCAGTATGGCTTCTACAATGATTCAAAAGAAAACAAAAACCAAAAAAAGAAAAATTACAGATGAACGAGAATTGTTCAATGAAAAGTGAACAATGACTATTGTTCACAGATGACTATTTTTTGGTCAAGGCAAATAGTAAGGCACTCTGCTTAATTTGTAAGGAATTTGTGCAAGTTCTCAAAGACTGTAATTTGAAAAGGCATTATATACAAAAACATGCTGCTAAATTCAATACGTATGAAGGACTGTGTCATAAGGACAAAGCAGTGGAACTGAAAAAAGTCTGTCTTCTCAAACAAAAAGTTTGTTTAAAAGTTACAACTCAGAGGGTCTGGGCGCAGTGGCTCATGCCTGTAATTTTAGCTCTCTGGGAGGCCAAGGCAGGTGGATTGCCCTGAGCTCACAGGTTTGAAACCAGCCTGAGTAAGAGCGAGACCGGTGTTGTGGTGGGCATCGGTAGTCTCTTAGGAGACTGAGGCAAGAGAATTGCTTGAACTCAAGAATTGGAGGTTGCTGTGAGCTATGACGCCATAGCACTTTACTGAGGGTGACAATGTGAGACTCTGTCTCAAAAAGGAAAATAAAGCTACAACTCAGATGGATTCCACTGAAAAAACTATCTATGTGGTAGCATACTGAATAGCAAAATAACCAAAACTGTTTACTGATGGTGAGCCTATTAGGCAAAGTATGGAAAGCGTGGCAAATTTAATTTGCCCTGAAAAAGAAAGACTCTGCCTCAAAAAAAAAAAAAAAAAGGAGGGGGTAATAATGAAACTATATATCTAACTCAAACAAAATATTTAAAAATATCAATTCCAGCGACATTAAGTATCCAATGTAAAAAGTAAAACATTCAGAAAGGAATATGAGAGAATATTCGTTCACTCTGGAGGTCTGGAAGAATTTCTTACATCAGGAAAGAAGACATTAAAGGAAAAGACATATCAATCTAACTTCTATTAAAATCAGCTCCACCCATCGGGGGAAAAAAAGCACAACAGAGAAGTAGACAAAAGATATGGGGTATTTTATTGATAAAGAAACAAGAAACATATAAAGGCATTCAACTCTTAGTTATCGGGAAAAAACAACTGAAATGACAAGAGTTTGTTTCACTAGGCAGGCTGACAATATAAGTAAGGTTTTGGCAAGAATTCTTATTCAAGGCTTGGCACCCGTAGCACAGTGGTTACTTCCCGGCCACATACACCAAGGCTGGCCTGGGCCAACTAAACAGCAATGACAACTTCAATAACAACAACAAAAAATAGCTGAGCCTTGTGGTGGGCGCCTGTAGTCCCAGCTACTTGGGAGGCTGAGGCAGGAGAATCGCCCAAGAGTTTGAGGTTGCTTTGAGCTGTAACCTCACTACACTCTATCTAGGGCGACACAGTGAGACTCTGTCTCAAAAAAAAAAAAAATTCTTATTCACTGCTAGTAAGAATGTTAATTGGTCCAACTGCTTTAGAAAAATATCAGAATTACTTAGTAAAGCTAAATATGTATAAAACCCTTCCATCTAGCAATTCTAACTGTATTAATTTGATAGGGTTGCCATAACAAATTACAGGCAGTCCCTAGGTTAGAGATGACCAAACTTAAAAGTGTTCCATACTTTCAAACAGCTTCCCAATAAGGATAACTAAAGAATTAAAATAATAATCTGAGAACTAGTTTCTCCTGTGCAGGGAAACAAACCCACGTGGCAGAAGCGGTTTGTTGGTGAAGCATCTTTAAGCCACCAGCTAGTCTCATTGTTGATACTGTCACTTGTGCACAGCATCCCTGCTGTCTTAACGTTTTCATTTGATTTTGTGAGTCTGTTTACCCTTCCGACCTTAGGACCACGCCTCCAAAGCAAGTCCAGCTGAGCATGCGGCGAAGAGAAAGGTGATTACAGTGGAATACAAATAATTATGCACTTGGACATTCAGAGAAAGGCCAGATATCATCATTCATAGGGGAAGCATGACGCTTCAGCTGCTCAAATACAGGAATAATTATAAAGGATAAAGTGGAAACAATGGACGAAAGACAGCGCTCCAATGAGAGTATCAATTATTACCAAGCAGCGCAGGGATTACTGAAATGGAAAGGTGATTATTAATTTGATTATAAGATCAAAATAAATGTAGCACTGCTATTAGCCTAGGAATTAAAATAAAGAGCACGACAGTGTCTGTAACTTTTACAGTACATTACAGTACGGGGCATTATTATTACTACTTTATTGCAGTAGTACACTGCGTTACCACCACCAGCTTCGCCCGACACTGGTGCGGCTGCTGCGCCATCCGAAAGGCCTCCTTAACCCACAGTGGCCTCTTTTTCGCTCCCATGGCGCCCAGACCCTCCCGGGACAAGCCCCGCCCGCGCTCAGCTGCACCTGGCACCTCACCGGAAGGCGGAGGTCCCCACAGAAAGTCCCGGACACCAGCGAGCCGACCTCAGGGAACCCCACGGCGTGGCTACCGCCGGAGCGTTTAAATAACTACCGCGAGAGGACGCACTCTCGCGAGAACGCCGCGAGAGCGACGAGAGGTGGAGCGTGGTATTGCCACCGCCCGGCCCATGGGCTTCGCACATGCGCAGAGGGCCGACCCAGCCCTTTTCCGCCCGGAATGCGGGGTGCCTGAGGTCAGGCCGGAAGTGGTGTTACAGCGCGAATGGGCGGCGAGCGGGACTGACTTTCCACCGGAGAGACGTGAGGCTTTCGGTGCCTGGGCCTGGCTGGGGCGTGGAGGATGGGCTGCAGGTGAGGAGAAGGAAAGGCAGCCTCTGACGGGTCCGCTAAGGCGAGACGTTACGGGTTCGTTGCTGGAATCACAACCAGGTTTTGCTCGGGGTACGAATTGGAAGTGGATGAGGGGGGCAGCGCTCGGGATCCGAAGGGACGCGTTCTCGGGTCGGCCGAAGGCGCTGGGCCTGAGCTCTTGGAAGTCCTAGTTGGGGCCCGGGAGGAGAGGAGGGAACCAGGCAGGAATCTGCTAGGAAGGAGGTTAAGTTCTAACCTTTCTAAACCCGGTACCTGGCCGTTCATCCTCTTCAGGCCTGGCGTACTTAACGTCAGTCCAGGAAACAAAGGGGAGTGCTAGAGACGCGAGGTATGTCTGTTAGTGGTTGTATGGCAGGTTTGCATCAAGCCTTATAAATCCTTTTTAAAAATCGACTTCATTTGAGGAAGGCATCAAGCCTTATAAATCCTTCTTTAAAATCGGCTATTTTTGGCAAGACAAAAGAGAAACAGAACTATAACATTATACCACTAAATTGGAAAAGTAAACATTTATCTAAGTAATTGAAGCCCTATGTCCGCTACGCCCCATTCCTTCTTGCCCAAAGTAGCCATTCTCTCAAGCACCTTTATGTTTTAATTTTAATTTGAAATACAGCGCTGTTTTTTTTAAATAATTTAAAACAATCAGTAATGTATGTAACCTTTTGAAGCTAGCTTGTTTCTTAATGTTTTTAAGATTTGTTAAATGGGTAGTCTGTTATATTAATATATCACTATCCATTTTCTGTTCTGTATCCTCAGTGCCTGACACGCTTTAGGCACTTAAATGTCAGTTGAACGAATGACTGTTGTAGCATTTGAGCTAAATCATAAAGAATGGATACGATTTCAAATGATTAAGAAGGCAAGAAGGGTGTTCCAGGCAAAGGGAATACTTGGCAGAATGAACCAGAGACATGAAAGGACATGAAAAATTTCAAGAGCGTCCATAGTTTGAGAGATGAAAATGTAGAATGTACACGGATAATGTGATGAAAGAGAAACCTAGAAAGAAAAGGTTTACACTTAAAGCAGCGTTTCTCAACCTGTGGGTCGGGACCCACAGGAAGTGTATTCAAGGGTCGTGGCATTAGGAAGGTTGAGAACCACTGACTTAAAGAATATTACCCCTGAGGAGTTTGCACAAATTCAGAGCCATAAGATGCTTTTCAGCAAGAAACCCATCAGAGCTGCATTTTTTAGAAGATGATGCTCATAGCACTCTGGAGACATGTCCTAAGGTGTAAAAGATTAATGACAGGAGATTACAGACTATCAAGCCTCATAATAATAATGATCATTGCATTAGGCAAGTAAGACACACATGAAGATTTACATAAAATCCTAAGACAGCTTCATAGTCTGTTCATATTACTGCACTCTTAGACAATTATTTAGTACTTTCTTCTGTTAAACTTGGTACATTTTCTACTTCTATTCCCTACTTAGCTGATACCTTGCATCCTATTTCAGTTAAAAAAGGACCTCCCCATGCTTCTGTCACCCCATCTACCAGGTCTGTAGTGTAACACACTGCCACTGCTTTTACTAGAAGTGAATTGTCTAATTTAGGATGGTGAGTAAGCCTATCAAGAATACTTTTTTAGTACAATAGTAACCGAAGCATAAACAACTCTAGACTCTCAAGTGGTGATTGGGTTGAAATGTAAAGAGTAAAAATGTGAAAAAACAATGATTAAAAGACAGTTGCTTTGTCTAAAAGGGTAGTGATCCATACATATGGTAATATAAATATGATTTATTTTTAATTCAAGTTTCTTATTTCATGTAGACTTGGGTATTAAGCTATATAAGCTAAATCTAAAGGTAGCTTACATATGTTTTTATAGGATTGTTTCTTGTTTCTAATATTACATCTGTTTTTTTTTTTTTTTTTTTTGAAACAGAGTCTCTAGCTGTTGCCCTGGGTAGAGTGCTGTGAATCGTAGCTCACAGCAACCTCCAGCTCTTCTTGCCTCAGTTTTTCTATTTTTAGTAGAGACGGGGTCTTGTTTTTCTCACGCTGGTCTTGAACTCATGAGCTCAAGTAATATATCTGCCTCGGCTTCCCAGAGGGCTATATAGGCGTGAGCCACCGCGCCTGACTGTTTAAATTTCTTAACATTTTAAGCACTTTATTTTGAAATAGAATCTTGAATGATCTGAGTTGAAGGATTATGTTGTATTAGCCTTTGTCTCATCATATATTGCCAAATTGTCCAGATACAGTTTGATGACTTATTTTCACTGACTCTGATAAAAATAGAATATATGATGTACAGTTTACTATAGGTGTCATTAATTTTATCATTTGTTCTTTCCCATTTATTGAGTACCTACCAGGACAAGCACTATTCTAGGGATACACGGATAAAAAGAGTTATTTGTACAAAATTACTAACCTGAAACCATGTCACATGACCATGTGAATGTACCTCAGTATGGGAGAAACTTTGACCTACAAGTATTTGGTTACTTTAATTGGAATTCTCTCCTGAGTAAAGGAATACAGAGAATTATTACTCTGAAGTATGGTCATATATCCACAGCAATCAATGCCAGTGCACACATCTTAAGTTTCAGTGTGCATGTGTATTGGTCTTTGAAACTTTGGCCAGAAGGGTCCTGTCCCAGCAGTCCACAGTCTGGGTTGTGGACTCACACTGGTATACTTGATCATGTTTTGGTATATTTAGGCTCTGATTTACATTGAGTATATCTCTTTTGTTTGTTTGTTTTGTTTTTGGAGACAGAGTCTCATTTTGTCACCCTCGATAGTCACTCTTGGACTTAAGCAATCCTCCTGCCCCAGCTGCCTGAGTAGCTGGATTATAGGCAAGACCAATATTGACTATTTGGAATATTTCATCTTTCAGGTAAACATCTAACCAAGATTGAGTCAAAGGCCTCCACCCAGTCCTGAATTCTCTTCCAGTTGCATACCTTTTAAAGTGTGCAAATCTCTAGCTACTTAGCCATAGTTAAAACATTGGACACTTTGACTTCCTACAAGAATTCATGATCTGCAAAATTTGTACACCAAACCTTATGGGGAAAGAGTGTTAGGGTCACACTATAGAATTTTGTAGCCAAAGAAGTAATACAAAATAACAGTGTTTTAAAATTTGCTCAGGATTTTTTCCAATCAAGTATAATAAGATATGCAGATGTGAAAATGACTGTTATGATGGAAGAAAGGTTTATACTAACAAATCTCCAGTAACAGGAGGCACAACACCCCACACCATGCAGGGGCACCTGCCTGGAAACAGCAGGGTCAGTAGGCAGAGGAAGTGCACTGGGAATTGCAGCAAGGCCTTTATTTGGTTTTTTTGGGAAGAAATGGTCAAAGCAGGGTAAGCAGCCTTAAACAGCTTTAGGATTGGCTGTTTTAGATAATTTTTGTGGCTCTGGGCCATAGGAGCTAGCTATCTTTAGTTCCCTGGTACCTAGCCCTGGGGTGATTAAGCATGGGAATATTGACCAGGAGTATAAGAGTCTGAGAGGTAAGTGTGTTCTGGATTAGTTATTTTGCAGTAGGAATTAGCTAACTCTTGGAGTTACTGTACCTTCCCAGTCATTGAGGCCTTACCCAGATGCCAGAGCATCAAGAATACAGAAAATATATTTAGTACAGTCTTAATAAAAGTGTAGTATTACCACAGTTAAGACATGTCAAATTCCTTTTTTTTTTTTAATTTTAATTTTTTTAGAGACAGATTCTCACTTTGTCACCCTAGGTAGAGTGCCATGGCATCACAACTCACAGCAACCTCCAGCTCTTGGGCTTGGGTGATTCTTTTGCCTCCGCCTCCCAAGTAGCTGTGACTACAGGTGCCTACCACAATGCCCAGCTATTTTTTTTGTTGCAGTTTGGCCAGCGCCGGGTTCAAACCTGCCACCCTCAGTATATGGGGCCAGTGCCCTACTCACTGAGCCACAGGCACCATCCAACATGTCAAATTCTTCTTTTTTTTTGGCTGGGGTCCGGTTTGAACCTGCCACCTCTAGTATATGGGGCTGGTGCCCTACTCCTTAAGCCACAGGGGCCGCCTTCAAATTCTTAATAAATGCTACAATAAATGTGAGTACTTCCTCCCACCCCTTAAATGGAGATAATTTCTTGGAAAGCTATGTAAAGAAGGGTTGAAAGTACTGTGTTACGGTCATAAAACTCCTATATCCTGAGATTAAAGAGGGCACTACAGTATGTACTTTACAGAAAGGCATGACCAAAATGGGCATGGCCGATCTAAAAGGAAGTATTTGTGGTAAATAAGCTGTGCTCCTTCATGGTTTGCTGTATTCAGTTTTGCTAATGTATTTTATAACTCCTGATAATGACTTACAGGTTTTAATGAAATCATTTTTCCGTTTACCAATCTCAATTAGGTGGTTGGCCTTAGAGAAATATGCCTAAGTCCATACAAGATAGTGATGAGAAGAGCTGTAGGCTTTCCACTTCACCACCCATGATCTTGGGCATCATAAAGGTCCCCATAGTTGGCAATAATATCACTTCGTGTTGTGATCCTTTAATTTCATGTCTCTGGTCTTATTCCCAGGTCCAGAAGGCGTGCCAGGAAAGTTCCATAAACATATATGAGCTCTGACTTGATAGTTGACCCAGCCATGAAAAACCTCATTGGATCCTTACTAGATCAGACCATAACTGGCGCTCTTAAAAGTTCTTCCTATCAAAAAGTATCAGGAATGAAAATCTAAGATATATTCCTACCATCTCGAGGCGTTCCTGTATAAGGCAGCAGTCTAGCAGATCAGCCGGGTTCTTCCATCATCAAGCAGACATACTCAAACCATGAACACAGCTGAGGGCACAGATGTCTCTGTGTCAATGTTCTTCTCACTGTGTGTGACCCACTAGTGGGCTGTGAAATCAATTCTGTGAGTCACAGTGAACATTCTTTTTAAAAATATATATATAATATCAGCATCCTTTGCCTGAATTACGTGCATTACAAGGAATACTGAGGTCAGTTTCACTATGTGAGAAGGTATTTGATGGAGGGACTATGATGACTAGAAGGCTTGTTGTCTGAGAAAGGAGTTTCCATCATTTGCTCCCAGGTGTCTCGCCTGGTTTTCATGACAGCAAAGTTCATGTTGTATAGTCTGGTTTTATATGATCACGACTTGTATCAGGATGTGGAGTCTGAGATATTCAACTGAAATGCAGCTACAAACTTTTTTTAAAAGATGTTATATAGGTTATATTTATATGTGTTAGTTTTTTTCTTTTTTGACTCAGTGGCAATTATGAGATTTTAATCAAACTGGAACATATTACTGTTAAAATGGATCATTTCTTTATTAAAAGAAAGAGGAATATTGAAATGAAATATGTGGAAACATGTTCAAGTTCAGCTGTTGGGTCTGGAAGTGTAAATAGTGACGATATTGAGAAAAACATTGACTTTAATCTACAAACTTCATTTGAGCCACGTTTCAAAAAGAAAAAAGTAAGTTCAAGACGTTATAACGAAGACTATTTAAAATACGGTTTTGTCAAATGTGAAAAACCCTTTGAAAATGACAGACCTCAGTGCGTTATTTGTAATAATATTCTTGCAAATGAAAGTTTAAAGCCTTCAAAATTAAAAAGGCACTTAGAAACTCAGCATGCTGAACTTGCTGGTAAGCCTCTTGAATATTTTCAAAGAAAGAAAAAAGACATAAAGTTATCCACCCAGTTCCTTAGTTGTTCTCCTCCTGTTAGTGAGAAAGAACAGTTTCTTAGTTGTTCTCCTCCCGTCAGTGAGAAAGCCTTGTTATCATCATATTTAGTCGCATATCGTGTGGCAAAGGAGAAAATGGCTCCTACAGCTGCCGAAAAAATTATTCTTCCAGCCTGTTTGGATATAGTGCGTACAATTTTTGATGATAAATCAGCTGATAAATTAAGAACTATACCTGAGGATGACATAGTATCTCTTCGAATTTGTACTATTGCAGAGCATTTAGAGACAATGCTTCTTACCCGGTTACAGTCTGGTATAGATTTTGCAATCCAGCTCGATGAAAGCACCGATACTGGAAGCTGTGCAACACTTTTAGTGTATGTCAGGTATGCGTGGCAAGATGACTTTCTGGAGGATTTTTTGTGTTTTTTAAATTTAACCTCACACCAAAGTGGAGTAGATATTTTTACAGAGTTACAAAAGTGCATTGTTGGTCAGTATAAGTTAAACTGGAAAAACTGTAAAGGAATTACAAGTGACGGCACAGCAGGCATAACTGGAAAACATAGCAGGCTAATTAAAAAATTGCTAGAAGTTAGTAACAAAGGTGCCGTGTGGAATCACTGTTTTATACATCGTGAAGGGCTGGCGTCCAGAGAAATGCCACAGAATCTTGTGGAAGTATTAAAAAATGCGGTGAAAGTTGTTAATTTTATTAAAGGAAGCTCACTCAATAGCCGACTTCTTGAAACATTTTGTTCTGAGATCGGAACTAACCACACCCACTTACTGTATCATACCACAGTCCGTTGGTTGTCTCAAGGGAAAATACTAAGCAGGGTTTATGAACTCAGGAATGAGATTCATGTGATTTTAATTGAAAAGAAATCTCATTTGGCAAATATTTTTGAAGATGATATTTGGGTCACAAAATTGGCATATTTAACCGATATTTTTGGCATTCTTAATGAACTGAGTTTAAAACTACAGGGGAAAAACAGTGACATATTCCAGCATGTTGAACGCATCCAAGGATTCCAAAAGACATTATTGTTATGGCAAGCCAGGCTCAAAAGTAACCGTCCTAGTTACTACATGTTTCCAAGATTTTTGCAACATATCGAAGAGAATATTATTAATGAAAATGTTTTGAAAGAAATAAAATTAGAGATACTGGTGCATCTCACATCTCTATCTCAAACTTTTAGCCATTTCTTTCCCGAAGAGAAATTTGAAATATTAAGGGAAAACAGTTGGGTGAAGGATCCATTTGCTTTTCGAAACCCTGAGTCAATAATTGAGCTGAACTTGGAACCTGAAGAGGAAAATGAATTATTGCAGCTTAGTTCTTCATGTACATTGAGGAATGATTATGAGACATTAAGTTTATCTGCATTTTGGATTAAGATAAAGGAAGACTTTCCTTTGCTCAGTAGAAAGAGTGTCCTCCTCTTACTACCCTTCACAACAACTAGTCTGTGTGAACTAGGATTTTCTATCTTAACCCAGTTAAAAACAAAGGAAAGAAATGGGTTGAGTGGCGCAGCAGATATGCGGGTGGCATTATCTTCCTGTGTTCCGGACTGGAATGAACTTATGAACAGGCAGGCACACCCACCATATTAAATAAAATGTTACCCAATATTTGCTTTTGTATTTCTTATTCTGTAGTATTTTTCTATGTCATTTAAATGTTAATATAGCATTGTATGCGATGCCTTTGTTGTGTTTGAATGTTTGTCATATTTAAATAATAAAACTGTGATACATGTTCATTGAAGAAAATGTTAATGAACATCTGTTTGAGGCCAGGAGCCATTCCAGAGACACTGGGATGTAAGAGTGAACAAAACCAAGATCATTCTGTGGTGGAGCTTATATCCTGGCAAGGAGAGAGAAACAGTAAACATAAGAGGGTTTTATAGTGTTCAAAAGAAAAAAATTGCTATGGAAAGAGTAGCAAAAAGGGAGGCTAAGGAAGTATTGGAGGACCAAATTGTGAAGGACTCTGAGGCCATTATTGGGACTCTGGGGGGTTTTTTAGAGACAGAGTCTCACTTTATTGCCCTTGGTAGAGTGCTGCGGAGTCACAGCTCACAGCAACCTCCAACTCCTGAGCTTGGGCGATTCTCCTGCCTCAGCCTCCCAAGTAGCTGGGACTACAGGCGTCCACTACAATGCCCGGCTATTTTTTGTTGCAGTTTGGCCGGGGCCAAATTTGAACCCACCACCCTCAGTATATGGGACTGGTGCCAGGGACTCTGACTTTTTGTTAGTAAAATAAAGAGTAACTGAAGGATGTAAGCAGAGGAGAGAGGTGTTCTGAATTAGATTTTCAAAGACTTAGTCTGGCTACTATTTTAAATTCTTAAAGCCTGAATTAAGTGTTACTTTTGTAAAGTAACCACTTCAGGGTAAGTCCTCCATTCTTTTTATTTCTTTGTGTTCTTTGTAGTCTGTAACTTGGAATGATTTTATTTGGTTACTGTTACCCTGCTACCCTAGAATGAGTGTTCCATGTCTGTTTGCATGAAACATAGTAAGTGGGTGTTCAGTACACGCTGATAAAGAGCAAAGGAGTCAGTGATACCTAACACCTCCAGTTTGCAGTGAGGTTCCCAGAAATAATGAATGTGCGGCAGATGTCTTCTTATTTTTTAAATCTGACTTTGTCAGATAACTTCTATTGACGTTAAAAAATGGCGTTGATGGATGTTGCTTCCTCGCATTGTCGCTGGTGATTAAGCAACATACATTGTATGATATGCTTCAAACTGATTCCAACTTCTGCCCCCCTGTGTACTTCCTTACCACACCAGGTGATGCTCTTAGCATGCCTTTTTAAAATCATAAGGGACAGCAGTTCTTTTCCATCTGCTACCGTGCCTAGCCTTATTGTAAAATTTGATTTTTCAGATTTTCTATTGAAAGTAACTGATTCCCCCCCCCCTTTGATGCTTGAAATAAAGTATTGGGAAATAACTCTGTGAATAGCTCACGTATCTGTACACATCCTCTGAAAGAAGGTATTTGCGTCTAAATTAAGAATGTATAAAAAAAGACATTCTGTCCCGTTTGATCCTGCAATCCCATTACTGGGCATCCATCCAGAAGGGGGAAAAAAACCTTTTATTATAAAGACAATTGTACTGGGCTGTTTATCGCAGCCCAATTTACAATCTCTAAAATATGGAAACGGCCTAAATGTCTTTCAACCCAGGAATGGATTGGTCAGCTGTGGTATATGTACACCATGGAATATTATTCAGCCATTAAAAAAATGGAGATTCGGCAGCATTTGTACCAACCTGGATGGAGGTGGAACACATGATTCTTAGTGAAGCATCACAGGAATGGAGAAGTAAGAATCCTATGTATTCAGCTCTGATATGAGGACAATTAATGACACAGTGGACCGTGGGGGAAGGGGAGACCAGACAGAGAAGGAGGGAGGGGGTGAGGGAAAGGAAAAGAAGGAAAAAGAAAAGAAAATAGCGACCGACTCACATAAATTGGATTTAGTTTTGACCAAAGTACATTACTTAAACAATTTCTAATTCAACTTGTTAATATGTTGTTTAGGATATTGTATCCTCATAAGTAAAATATGTTTGTAATTTCCCCTTTATAATAATATGTTTTCTCCAATTTTAATATCAGGTGTATCCAGATTAAGTAGAATGATTTTGAACTATTTCTTCTTTTTCTATTGTCTGTAAGATTTGGCATAATCTGTTTTTTGAAATTATCTTTTACTTTTGTTTATAAATATTAGTTGTTTATTTTTTGAGACTTTGGAAAAATAAGATAACTGATGACTCCATACTGAACCTCAGAGTCAAGGCATTCTATAATAGACAATGTGAATGTTACTTTCTTTGCATTATTATTATTGCTTAATATTTCGATGCAATTGTCTGATTTCTGAATGTATTCATCTTCGTTCATTCTTTACAAGGTTTTTGTTTCTAGTCCTTAAACATTGTTACTAAATTTTAAGGCTTTTTAATTTTGTGAAGACAAAAAGTGGAAACCTAATAAACACATGTAAAAAATAATAATAAAAGAAGACATTCTGGGACAGTAAACTGCAGATAACTGCTCCCTTAGAGACATCCCAGGGAAGTCAAGATAAAGCCTTTTCTTCTTCCTCCCCAGAGGCATTTGCCTCTGTTTCAGGAGTAACAATCTCTTTCTGCAGGGGAAGATAGGCAGACATGCCAGTGACTCCAAAAAGGAATCTGTTCAAATTTGGGGTTTCTCTTCTGTGGCACTGCCCACTGCACACAGAGGAAACACCTGGCCCTGAGCAGATCGCACGGTGGGAACTGGGCATGGGGAGCTGACAGGCGATGCTGTCCTGGCTCTCATTTTGCTCTGAATAATAAATTGTGTCTCTGACCCAGAGGTTTTGGGGCTTTCTGTGAACTTATGTGTCTTCTACAAAATCGCCTTTATCATGCAAGGTAACATACAGGGTTCAGGGAGTAAGATGTAGATATCTTTGGGAAGGGCATTTTTCAGCCTACCCTCTGGTCCGCAAAGACTCATCCACTCCACAATCCCTTACGGCATCAGCTCAATTCCAAAATCTCATCTACATCTTAACCAGCTCAAAAGTCCCAAATCTGTCTATATTAGATGTTGGTGCAGCTCTGAGTATAAGCCATTCTGGAGCAAAATTCTATCTCAGGACCTATGAAATTAGAAAACAAGTTCTGTGCTCCGAAACAGCAACGTGTCAGGCGTGGGGTGAGTCATGGGCATTCTCACTCCAAAAGGGAGGAAAAAAGGCAACAAGGAGTCACAAGCCAATCACTTTCAAAGTCCAACTGGGCAAACTCCACTAGGTTTCCAGGACTTGTGATGACTTGGCTGGCTTACTGCATCTGCCCTCTTGCTGCGGCTCTATCAGCCTGTTTCCTGCCTCTGGAACTGTGGGAGCTCAACTGCTTTTTATTTCATCCCCACTGACCCACTTAGTCCAACTGGAGGGTGTTTCTGTTGCATAACATTTTCAAAACCTTCATGGTACCTCGGGACTCACTTGATGAAAAAAGAGGTTCCTACACAGATCTTAACTGAATAATTCCATCTCTATTTTTGGTTACTGCTGAGGTAGTAGAGGCGATCCATGAGTCCCGGGCCTGTGCCCAGAGCCCCTCCTGTGATTGAATACTGTAGCCCTTTGTACTTCAAAGCAGTAGGAGGAGACTTCCAACACCCCCAAATGGTTGAGATGATCACTTTATGTTATGTAGGTTTTACCACAATTTAAATTTTTAAAGAAAAATTTAGATGTGTAGTAGTACATCTTCATATAATATTTCTACTCTACAGATAAAATAGTTGTAAATATCCCCAAGAATATAGATACTAGCAAAATGTAATAAAATAATTATGTGCTGTATCTTAGGTGTTTATTACCTTTGCTTTTGATGTAGTTTGTTGAGGTAAGTTTATATAACTTTTTAATACTGGCTGTGTTTAACAGATGGCTCGGGACTCTTGAGAATGTGTCTCTCAAATACTGGCAACCAGCCCTAGTCCGTGACTACATGACTGCCTGTGGTGTCATTTAGCCTGTCCGTCTGTCCCCTGTATCTCCTGAATACAAGCAGTTAAATCTGAAGGTGTGCTCAGATTCAGGGTGTGTGTGTGTTCGTGCCTGAGAAGTGGCACTGTGCCTTCTGTTGGATCACAAATCAAGAGAAAGTCATGTTTTGAGGGTAGGAAAGACTTCTGCCCTCAAAGTCAACTACCTCCTCCCATGACAGTAAACAAAATGATTGTAAACAAAATGAAAAAAAGAATAAACCATGAGGGAAAAGAGAACAGAAGAGATGTCAACAACAGAATTTGGAAAGGTGCGAAGGAAATGAGGAAGGCATAAGAATGTAGGTGACCAGTGAAAACCGAAATATAAACTGGGTAGTGAGGAAGAAAGTGTAAGCTGTGAAGAAAGGTTTTTGATACCACAGAACCCTCAAAAGGAGAAGGATTTGGAAGAACCACCTGTTGCTAAGATGAAGGGAGTGGAGGTGGGGCTGGAAATCAAAGAAATGGTCGAAGTCTGAAAATGTCGTCCTTGACCTTGTTCAGCTACACTTGTTTTCCCCCACCCTAGCAGAAGACTTGCTCCCTGGAGAGGCTTGCCTAAAGAGACCCTGGGCAGTAGGGTACCAGGCATCACTGATGCTCGAGCCTCCACTGCAACATGGTTGGGGGCGGTGGGGACCAATAAGTGAAAATCTTTATGTTAAATAGTAAGATCCCCCCAGTCTACTCACCATTGAGGGCATTCAGGTTTATATCCTTTAGGAAGAATACTGGTATATTCCTCTCTAAGGAAACTGTCCAAGAGGAAATGGCAGGACTCTCTACTGAAAAAGTGGTTCTGATAAGTACCTCGTGTTTATTCTATGTTCATAAAAACAATCAGCCAAGAGTAATCAGCTATTTGAGCTTATAAAAGCTAGTCATCAGAACGGAAATGGATAGAAGGTACTCAAAGGACACAGCCATTAGCAGAAAGAAATTTAAAGAACAAAACCCAAAGCGTACATCTGTAGTAATAGCCTCAGAAATAACCACAAAACAGGGAGGAAAGTGTTTTCTTTTTAAAAAGAACTCAAAATTTAAAAGAAAAAGATAGCATAATTGAAAAATTCAATAGAGAAGTTGGAAGATGATAAATTTATGCTCAGGGAAGGGTAAGAAAGAAAGCAAACAAAAATAGGACAGAAAAATATTTAAAAATAAAGAGGAGAGAGAGAGAATTCATTGCTATACAAGTAATAGGAACTCCAGAAGGAGAAGAATTGGAGATGAAATTACAAAAATAAAAAATAATTCTCAGGATTTAAAGATGTGAGTTTGCAGATTAAAAGGGCCCATTGATTACATGGCACAAACAACTACCCTTCCCCAAGTTCATTTTTGAAATCCTCAAGTATAAAAAGAAATCTTAAAAATTTCCAGAGAGGAAAAAAGACAGCTTGAATAAACAGGATTAGGAAAATGGTTTGACATTCATCAACAGCCACACAAGAAACAAGGGAGCACTGTCCTCAAAATTCCGAAAGGACATGATTTTCAATTTAGAATTCTACCCAAGGACATTCTCAATCAGAATAATGACATTTTGAATTATTATGCAAAAGACTAAACTAAAAAGTTTAGTCCCTGTGTATCTCCTCAAGAAACTATTGAAGGATGTACTCCTTAAAACAAGAAAAAAGGCATGAGATCTAGGAAGCAGGCATTCTGCACAGGAGAGGGGGAAGGAGGGACCAGGATGACAGCTGTGCAGTCAGTGGAGAGCAACCGGCTCAGACTGGGACAAAAAACTGAACAACTCTTGGAAGAGCCACCCCTCCAAAAAAAGAAGTAAAAGAGAACTTATACACATTCCCTAAAATATTGACTGGTGCTTTTGAATGCATTGAGAGGTTTATATGTCTTTTAGAAAGTTTGACCATCATCATAGGTGTACAGAGAATACCAAAAAAACAGGCAGGAAGAGGAAGGAGACAAGTATTACCTGCAGGATAACAAAAGGTTTTCAACAAAGGCAATGTCATCAGAGAATGCAATAAGCTCAGCCATGAATAATACAAGATCTTAATAACATAAATGCTGATGATTTATTTAAAGCTGTGATATAACTAAATTGGGAGAATGAAAGATTTAGAATAGGTTCGGTGCCCGTAGCTCAGTGAGTAGGGCACGAGCCACATACACTGAGGCTAACAGGTTTGAGTCCAGCCCAAGTCTGCTAAATAACAATGACAATTGCAACCAAAAAATAGCCAGGTGTTGTGGTGGGCATCTATAGTCCCAGCTACTTGGGAGGCTGAGGCAAGAGAATCCCATAAGCCCAAGAGTTAGAGGTTGCTGTGAGCTGTGATGCCACAGCACTTTACTAAAGGTGACATAGTGAGACTCTGTCTCAAGAAAGAAAGAGAGAGAGAGAGGAAAGAAAGAGAGAGGAAAGAAAGACAGAAAGAGAAAGAAAGAAAGAAAGAAAGAAAGAAAGAAAGAAAGAAAATATAACAAGAAAAAAGTCTGCACGTGTTCAATGCAGACGCAGCCTTTCTTCTTTTTACACCCTGACTATTCTCCATCTGCGGTTGGTGGAAGCCACGAATTTGGAGGGCCGACTGCCTTTAATTCCCCTGCGTTGACTTATTTGTAAAATAGGGATAATTACAAACCCAGGAGGGACATTGTGACAATCCAGGGAACAGCGCTCAGCACATAGTAAGAACTCAATAAAGACACGTTTTGACGGTTATTTTCTTAAAGCAAACAAAAACCCTTTCTCATCGGGCGGTGGGGAAGAGGGCATCCAGCCAAGCTGTCACAGGGGGAGCCAGGCAAGTCCTCTTCCGATAACCCAACTCTCCTGACCTTTTCTCCGCCCTCGCGCTTCTCTGGGGCTCCCTCCCGCGGCACTGGGCCGTCCCGGGTGTTCCTAGAGCAGTCCTGAAACTGAAGGCGGCGGGGTGTCAGCTCCGGAGCCGCCTTAGTGGGAGGGGAGAAAGTGACTCGGGGAGGCAAGAAGCGGGAGGAAGCAAAGTCCCTGCATGGCGGTCCCGGGGCGCG